CATAAATGCTGGCTATTAATATAAATGAGATTTGCTTTCTGGTCTCCAGGAGATTATAGTGGAGTATGGAAGAAAAATACCCTTACATATATCTCTCACATTGATAATATTGACAAACACAGAAAAAGAGAGTAGATAAGGTGGAGATCTCAGAGTGTACATGTGGCTCTGAATAGATAAAGTTTCTTCAAATACCTGGAATTTGAACAGATGACTCCAACTTACCAAGTGAGGAACCTATTAGCAATCCAATCATCTCCTTGAGAAGGCAAGGGAAAACTGGATCATGATAGATGGAAATGGCAGAAGAAATTGACTATATAGTCACTTCTCTGCCATCTGGAGTGAAAATTACACATGAATACATTACTACCATGATAAGAAAACATGAAAGAAATAAAAGAAATGCCATCCTTTAATGACCTTATATTGATTGTACTCTTTTATTTGTTGGAAAGCCCCACAATGAAAACTTACATTGCTTGATATTCCTATCTAGGCCCCAAAATAGCACTATTTGCAGGGATTACTTATAGTAATTACTTATAGTACATTGCTAGATGGAAAATCAAGGCTCCAGAGTAACAAGTACTGATAATGAGGTGGACTGATAGATGAGATGGGAGATGGTGAAATTTGAGTGAAAATGAGGCAGATGCCAAGGAATACCCCAGGGTGGAATTATATCAACAGCCCGGGTCTCTGGGGTTCTTGAAGTCCTAGTACAGGAAATCACTGGGTGGTCCAGCATCGTGATGGGTTCCCTTGGCCACCAGCTTTCACTCCATTTCCTCTGTAGACACTTCACAAACTGAGGACAAACAAGGTCCTTTGATATATCTCAATGTCAGAAAGGCTCTTCTCCAAAATAAAATAAAATAAAATAAAATAAAATAAAAGCATGGAGGGACTGTGTGGATAGACATCAAGAAATTTCTTATTTCTAGTTACACTCTTCAGCCAATGTTCGCAACACTGTTTCTACTTTGGGGTGCTACATGTAGGGAGTCATGCTGATTCCTTAAGGAAAAAGCAAGAGACAGAAGCCTCCCTCTGAAAACTGGGTGCTGGCAGCCTCAAAAGTGGGAGTTCTCAAAGGGATCAACCAGATCATTCTCCCTTCTGATCCATTTCCCCCTATCCTGCTCTTTATTTCAAACATTCAAATCTGCTGTCATGGGTAGAATTTTGCCTCTTGTATTCATTTAAGG